CACAGACCTGGCCTGTTGTATTTTCATGTGCCATCTGCTGCTTGTCAAAGTCTCAGATTAGGCTGGATGAGGTATTACACGGAGAGATTATCTTAGTCTGACACTCTTTTTTTCTCCTCAGTGGCTTCTTTGTTTTGAGACTGAGTGGATTTCTTGGATGAAGGGATACAAGAGATGAGAGTTGACGTCAGTCTGGATGAGAGACATCTGCTCTGTTTTTATGACCTGTCGAAGGTACAGAGTGATTCTCCATATGAATCATTTGCGGAAAACAAAAGCAGATTTCTGCTCTTTTTCCCCGTTACAAAGCATCTACAGGTTTCTCCCTGCTCACCACATCACATCTATGTCCGAAGAGGCTCTTATAAAACGCAAATAGGTTGTTGTGGTGTTTCACAGGGTGTTTAGTGCCTATGATGTAATACATTATATCCAGACACTCATTCATCAGAAGGATAAAAGCACAGGAGCTCCCTCTGTTGGTCTCTTTATTTCTACCTCATAGGAGTGACTGTATATGATATAGGAGAGACTCATAGTACAACTCCATATTTTATTATTTTTACCCTCTGACAAAACATAGCAAAACAAGACATTTACGGTTATTAACATACAATCAAAGTACATGCTGTGAAATATTTACTTCCTAATGGCATGTGAAAATGTACATTTTATGATCAAATCTAATTTAACTTGTACATTTTATTAATTAATCATTGCTTTGTCACTGACATTTGGCAAAGCAACGCGTGTGACATCTTCATATATACATTAAACTTCCACGTCGCCCATTTTCATGCCTCACAGACAGGCACTACTGATTCTTTAATGCCCAAAAGGCCAGCAGCAGATCAAAAATCAACTTGATATTGAAAGCACCTAAACAGCAGGGACGGATCGCTAAATGAGGAGAAGAAAACAAAGGGATGATTAATTGTAGTGATGTAGCGGAAGGTGAGGGAAAGCAAGGGAATTACAGGTAAAGGATTGAATGGAAAGAAATGGATGATAGTTGAGTCCAGGGTTTAGAGGAGTTAGATAGTCGAGAGACGATGGAGGGGGTGTGCGGCAGCTAATCCATTGAGGCTAATCACACAGCTGCTTGGAGACCAGCAGCCTGCCTCCATTCATCTATCCCTTTACTTTTACATCAGCTTTCATCAAATCACAGTTGAGTCTTTATCACTCTGAAATTCTGACATCAGATTTAGCATATTTTGCAAAGAGCAAATAAGTGCCAACATCTTCAAACCTTTTGTAGGCGATGTGCATATAAAGGACAGACAGGTGGTGTTGGGTTTACATGTCGGTGTAACCGAGGTTCCTCCTCTCCCCTGGGGCGGGCGATGGCTCTCCCTCCAGCGCTGTGAAAGCTGTTTCGGCAGGTCGAGTGGGATTTTGCTGGAAGCAGAGACTCTGTGAGAGAGAGTGTGGCTGGCTGATATGGAGCGTCTCCCTGCCTCACGCTGCAGAGCTTCTGTCTCCAGGCAGTCATCTCAGCCTGTGAGAGGCTGCTATTAACTGCTGCTCCTTTTGTTTCTATTGGCCCCCATACCCCGACTGCTCGCCCGCACGCTGCTTATCCCCTTACTATGTTTTATCTGCAACCGAGTCACATAAGAGCTGCTAAAAATATGACTGTATTAACACAGAAGACATTCCTAGATTGATTTGTATTTACACTATTCATTTATTTAATTACAGCTCTCATTTCAATGTATAATTATATAGAGAATATATATAGTCTATTAGATGCCAATTGTTAAAATTTGAATACAGATAATCAATATGAACCATTCTGCAAGGAACAGATGAGTAGAATAAAAATCAGTTTATGGTCTGTGAACAGAATAATGCTGATGCAGCAGCTGCTTGCCTCATGAATCTGCAGCATGCCTTAATTTATTTTCTATATCATGCGCTGGACCTCACTGGTTAGGTAATCCTCAGTTGTGTGTGTGTGTGTTGGACTGTGTGCCTGCCACCATCTTTACTTCCAACGTGGAGCATATGGCGGGAGCAACCTCCTGTTACCATAGCAACACAGTGTTTGCAGTCAAATGAAAAATGTCCTCTGCAAGGACATGAACGGATCAATGAAATGAGCCCTAATCACCTTATTATCCTACTGTCTTCAGTTTTATTTCCATCTGTCCTCAAAGGAGCAGCTTTTATCTACTAAAACAAAACAAAGGCTACATCTCTTATAGGTCTTCATAGATTAATTTGTTTGGCGTAAGCTTATTTGGTCTTTACAAGTGGGTCCTGTCCTTGGAGCCTCCTGACAGACCATCTGACATTATGATCCAGATGGATCTCCAGGCAGACCAGTCTCACCCTGCTGGGACACACTGGGCCCTCACAGAGATTACAGCTCTGGCTCCTTACTTTGCCATGTGCTGTCTTGTTTTTGCATCATTCCACCCTCCAAAGAATTGGATGTTTTTTTTAAAGGATTTTGAGCGGGGGATCTAATATATGACATTGTAATAAACAGGCAGTAAATATAATTTTATACCATGTTGGAGCTTGTGTAGCCTGATGTATAGTTTGTCAGTGGAGCAAATTGCAACGCAAGCAGAATATGTTACTCTTGCCATATTGTTGGCTTACAGGAACCTCCATCTCTGCTGTGATGTGACCCCAGGGATAGTGAACGTATTGCAAATGACAGCAAAATAATTTTATCACCAGCCTCCTCTATAAACAGTGTTGTCCCGGCTCTGTATTTTGGTTGCATCGGGCATATTGATGGCTAGATGATGTGTCAGGCCCCCCATGTCTTTCATACTACAGGTTTTTATTTGATCCGTGTCTGCGTGTCTGTGACAAAGGACCCCCATATAATGCTCAATTGCTGTAGCAATGCCCTGAGCTGAATCCCTATGGATTAGCTGGATCAATATAGCGTAGGGACATGGAGGTGTCATTTAACTTGTCTCTTGTCCTGTCTATGCTCTTGTATTTGTGCGTTACTGTTAAAGAGGTATAGGGGTCCACAATGATGGCAGCTTCCTCTAACCATTGCCTTTTTCATATTGTTTATTGCAAAAGACTCATTTCATTGTTTCAGATATCAGTAGTTATCAAAAGATATATGTTTTTCTTCAGTTTCTGTGTGTCTGTGAAAATGTGTCGAGCACAATCTGTGTGTGTGTGTGTGTGTGTGTGTGTGTGTGTGTGTGTGTGTGTGTGTGTGTGTGTGTGTGTGTGTGTAAGCAGCTTCTTGCCTCAAAAATCTGCAGCATGCCTTAGTTAGTTTTCTATATCATGCAACACTTCACTGGACCTCACTAGTTAGGCAATCCCCAGTTGTGTGTGTTGGACTGTGTGCCGCCATCTTTACTTCCAACGTGGAACTTATTGCGGGAGCAACCTCCTGTTACCATAGCAACACAGTGTTTGCAAAATATACGTTTCTTCAGTTTCTGTGCGTCTGTGAAAGTGACCTGGGTTTGTCCAGCACAATTTGAGTGTGTGTTTGCAATGACCAAAATGAATTAAGCAAATGTAAAAACTTACATTTGCTTAATTAATTTTAAATTTAAATTTAGGCAGAAAAAGGACACACAAAGGATATGAGTATCAAATGCACTGGTGGTATATGTAATGAGCAAGCTTCATTAGAGCAGGTTTGACTGGTGGGCAACATCCTTTTCTTCCGTGTGGATACAGCAACATGGTTCTGGAGCAAGAGACAGAGAGGGGTAGAGGGAGGGAGGCTGAGAGAGAGAGAGAGAGAGAGAGAGAGAGAGAGAGAGAGAGAGAGAG